ACAGACCTACAGAAATGAGAATGCAGCTGGTGCTTTTGGTAACACACATGTTTATACAATCTGAGGCCAGCAGCAGTCGCACTGATTCAGTCAGAGCCAAATCTCCAGAAGAGACTTCCTGTCACATAACTCACATTCCCAGAGGTAAAATGTTATCTCTGCTGTCACCATTTGTTGCCTGAACTGAGGCGTGTGTGCGTGTGTGTGTGTGTGTGTGTGTGTGTGTGTGTGTGTGTGTGTGTGTGTTAGTGTGTGGACCTACAGACATTTATCCTCATCTTTCTAGACTCATTTTCTTCACCACACACTGGCTGTTCCTTTCTGTCCCGTTTTCAACAAGTAAGTGTCTGTGCAGCCTCCCCAGGCAGCTTCCTAAACTCCTACATAAGTGAGCTGCTGTGCATTTGTCTGCGTGCTGTTTTGAAGACACGAGAGTGAAGAGACATCTGTCCGTGTGCTGTCCTGAGACGTGTCTCCATCCACCTCAAACCCAACTCGGAGATTACGCTTGGGCCCCTTGGTGATGACCGATCACAGTGACTGGGCATCTACAACGTTCCTCTTGAACAGCAGCATTCTGGACAATGATGGACGTGCAGTTATGCATTTATGTGTGTGTAAGTGTGTGTGTGTGTGTGTGTGTGTGTGTGTGTGTGTGTGCAAGCACTCTGATTGGATGATTCCTTATTGCTGCTTCAAATTCTCAATTTGTAAAGAAAAAAAACATTTAGAATGAAATCTTGTACTTTATAAAGTTGCTGTAGCATTTATTATCTTCATTGTCATCATAGTCATTTATCTTCTCTTTCTGCTTCATTTTTCCATCTTTTTCCCAAATTTCCTGTTCCCTCAACTTTATACCCCACCATCCATCTCTCTCCTCCGCTTACAGTCTCCAACGTGTCGACACACCACACAACTCAGTCCAATTTATTATGGCCAAAGCTGTTATTTATTTATTTATTTATTTTTATTCTTTTGGGGGCTGGTACATAACAGTGTCATGGTCTGCGTCTGCGTCTCCCTCATGTGTCTCCTTGTGTGCTCCATCCCCCTCTAAGGATCCTCTTATGTGTCTCTTTGTGTTCCTCGTGTGTCCCCTGGTCTGCAGCCCTCCAGATTATCCCTCCCAGGTCCTGTGCTCCCGTTGGTCTCCCTTAGTCACCCGTCTGCAGTTTTTATAGGTTCAGCTTTTCATTTTATTAGTCTATTTAGTATGTTTTCCCACCGGGTTTTGTAGTTTTCCTTCCCCCTTAGAATATTAGTTATTTTGCTGCTTTTCTTGTCTTTAGGTTTTTATTCTTAGGTCATGTTAGTTTCCTCCCTGATTAGTTAATTGCTTTCACTTGGTTTCTCTCCCCACACACCTGCAGCCTATCTGCCTCCCATCATGCCCCAGTGTATATAGCCCTGTCTGCGTCTCTATCTGTCGTTGGGTCATTGTCACCTTTGTCTCGTTCACCTCGCTAGATTTGGATCTTCGTTTTTGGATTCTAGGTTTTGTCATTTGGGACTTTGATTTTTGTTTTTTGGCTTCCTGCCCCATTTTTTTTTTTTTGGATTTACAGTTGTGGTCAGAAGTTTACATACACTTGTAAAAAATATGATATAATGGCTCTACTGAGTGTCCCGTTAATTCTAAAACTCTGATTTTTCTCTGATAGAGTGATTGGAACAGATACTTCTTTGTCACAAAAAACATTCATGAAGTTTGGTTCTTTAATGTCTTTATTATGGGTTAACAGAGAAAAGTGATCACATTTGCTGGGTCACAAATATACATACAGCAGTGCTAATATTTGGTTACATGTCCCTTAGCCATTTTCAATTCAATTAGGTGCTTTTGGTAGCCATCCACAAGCTTCTGGTTGAATCTTTGACCACTCCTCTTGACAGAATTGGTGAAGTTCAGTTAAATTTGATGGCTTTCTGACATGGACTTGTTTCTTCAGCACTGTCCACATGTTTTCAATGGGGTTTAAGTCAGGACTTTGGGAAGGCCATTCTAAAACCCTTATTCTAGCCTGATTTAGCCATTCCTTTACCACTTTTGATGTGTGTTTGGGGTCATTGTCCTGTTGGAACACCCAACTGCGCCCAAGACCCAACCTTCGTGCTGATGATTTTAGGTTATGTTGAAGAATGTGAAGGTAATCCTCCTTCTCCATTATCCCATTTACTCTCTGTAAAGCACCAGTTCCATTGGCAGCAAAACAGCCCCACAGCATAATATTCCCACCACCATGCTTGACTGTAGGCATGGTGTTCTTGGGGTTAAAGGCCTCACCTTTTCTCCTCCAAACATATTGCTGGGCATTGTGGCCAAAAAGCTCGATTTTTGTTTCGTCTGACCACAGAACTTTCCTCCAGAAGGTCTTATCTTTGTCCATGTGATCAGCAGCAAACTTCAGTCGAGCCTTAAGGTGCCACTTTTGGAGCAAGGGCTTCCTTCTTGCACGGCAGCCTCTCAGTCCATGGAGATGCAAAACACGTTTGACTGTGGACAATGACACCTGTGTTCCAGCAGCTTCTAATTCTTGGCAGATCTGCTTTTTGGTGATTCTTGGCTCACTCTTTACCCTCCTGACCAATTTTCTCTCAGCAGCAGGTGATAGCTTGCGTTTTCTTCCTGATCTTGGCAGTGATGAAACAGTGCCATGCACCTTATACTTACAAACAATTGTTTGCACTGTTGCTCTTGGGACCTGCAGCTGCTTTGAAATGGCCCCAAGTGACTTTCCTGACTTGTTCAAGTCAATAATTCGCTTTTTCAGATCCATGCTGAGCTCCTTTGACTTTCCCATTGTAGCGTTTGTGGGCGTTTGTATCCAATGAGCCCTATTTACCTGGCCTAAGAGAAGTCACCAGCTGTAGTCACTCATAATCACTCACAAGAAGTTAAGAGGCCATGCGATGAAGCTCAGTTCACTGACACGTTTCTGTCACCAAAATTGCTAGTTCATGTTGCTGTATGTATATTTGTGACCCAGCAAATGTGATCACTTTTCTCTGTTAACCCATAATAAAGACATTAAAGAACCGAACTTCATGAATGTTTTTTGTGACAAAGAAGTATCTGTTCCAATCACTCTATCAGAGAAAAATCAGAGTTTTAGAAATAACGGGACACTCAGTAGAGCCATTATATTATATTTTTTACAAGTGTATGTAAACTTCTGACCACAACTGTATTCTGAATAAAAGGATTTTTACGTTATTGCTCCACTCAGTGTCACCTGGTTCTCTGCATCTTTGGGTCCTAACCTCCTCTTGGCTCCCCATCGTGACAAACAGTCTCAATAGATACTAACATGGAGGAACAGAAGATACAGATACGGCAGTTGATTTTGGAAACAGGTCCCAATCATACCCTTGCAGACATGCAGTGTCAGAATAACAGCAGTCGCATAACATGCTTGATTTCACCCATAGTCTTTGTCTGTCTTCATAAAGTTCCTGAATCCATCCCAGTGAGAAATTCCCTCTGTTGTCTTCACTCAGTCTGCTGAGCATACATTCATACGATGCAGATTCGGCCATTCCTTAATCTCTGGAGATTCTGCTGCTTTCCAGTGTCTTAAAATGACACGACAGGCTGTTGTTAATCCCACTGAGATGATTGAAAAATTACATTTGTTTACATTAGGCAACTGAGATTTATCTCCTAATAAACACAGTTCTGGGTCAAAAGGGATGTCTGTTCCACACCACTTACTTAGGATCTTGACAATCCGAGTCCAGAAACATCTAATAGGAGCACATTCCCAGATATAAAGCATAAACGTCCCAATATTCCTTTTGCATTTCCAACATGAATCGTCATCCACTAGCTTCATTCTAAACAGTCTAGATGGTGTATGATAGTATCTGTGTAGTACATTATATTGCATGCTTACCACGATTGAGAACAATTGTTTTCCATTTATCATTATAAATCATTATGCCAAGGCCTTTCTGCCAGATCATTTTTAACTTGCTTTCTAGCTGGAAGTTTCACATCCTCAGTTACTGTGTTGTCTTCAATATTATACGGCTGCGAGGTAATGCAGCTTCTCATTTGCAAGAATTTCCAAAAATGACCCTTTCCCACTAAGTTAAACTCTTGCACCAGGTTATCATGTGACAGAAACACCCCTTCTTTAAACAAATCACCAATAGTATTTAATCCTTTCACTTACCACTCTTCCCAGTAAACAGGTTTCTTCCCTATGCAGATCCTGGGATTATACCATAATGAGGAATATTTCTGCTGACTATGTTTGAGGTTTAACAGTCTATGGACTCTGCCAAAGCTGGTTTTTGTCCAGTTTGGCATTCTTTACATATCTGAGAGGAAAAATCCCCGAGAGGGGGTTTGATGGTCAGAGATATAGTAAACACAGAAGCAGGATATTTAGGATTTACCGACTCGAGCAGGGATCATTCTTCTGTTTTCAAAAGTTTGAGAAATTTTTCTGCATGTCTTTTTTTTTTTCCATTTCAAGTCACACGTTTTACTCAGTTTTATTAAATAAATTAATGTCAATATGAGTCACATGTTTCCTGTGGCTCTAATATGAGAATCTGGAACCTATTATGATTATTCTGTCTTTTAGGGTTAATCTTAATTATTATTTTGTGTTGCTGCTCTTTTTAAAACTTTTTTAGATCACATAAATGGCTTCAGGATATATATATATATATATATATATATATATATATATATATATATATATATATATATACACATAATTCTGATGTTATTTTCTACAAAATAAAGAATTAGAAAATCTCATCCAGGCTAAACATTTCAGATACACTCAATATTAATCAGTTTTGTGCTAAATAATAGCAACGGTGGTTTGCCGTACTCAAAACAAAATAAATATGTACCGGTAAATGAAATGAATAAATAAAGACCTCCATAAATGTTCAGTGGAACCGTTATGTTTCATGTTGGGTTCAGGTTTCGTCCTGCTCTGCTGCCTGACTATATCTGTGTCCCTCCTCTGTTTCTGCAGGCTCGGTGACCAGTTTTATAAAGAGGCCATTGAACACTGTCGCAGCTACAATGCTCGCCTCTGTGCTGAGCGCAGCGTGCGAATGCCCTTCTTGGACTCCCAAACTGGCGTGGCTCAGAACAACTGCTACATCTGGATGGAGAAACGTCACCGTCGGCCAGGTGAGACACACCTGGGAGAGCTTGTGGGGTGGTGGTGGGCGAGTGGTACAACACTATTTTCCCTCCAGTTAATAAATAAATGTTTAGTTCTACACTTTTTAAAATTTAAAAACACACAAAAAACTCCACTCTCAAAACAATAATAGCATTATTCAATATTATCAGCTGATATTGGAATTAAAATATAACACATGAAATTATCGGGATGAGATTTTAAGAACCAGCTTCTGCTTTTTGCAGATGATGTGGTCCTTTTGGCTTCATCTGAAAGTGATCTCCAGCTTTCGCATCAGCTCCTCTAAAACCGAGACCATGGTCTTGAGTCAGAAATGGGTAGAATGCCTTCTCCGGGTCAGGGATGAGGTCCTGCCCCGAGAGCTGAGCCGGAAGGCAAAGCTCTCGATTAACCGGCCGATCTACATTCCTACCCTGATGTATGGTCACGAGATTTGGGTAGTGTCCAAAATGATGAGATCGCGGATCCAAGCGGACAAAATGGGTTTTCTCCGCAGGGTGCCTGGGCTCTTCCTTAGAGATAGGGTGAGAAGCTCGGTCATCTGGGAGGGGCTCGGAGTAGACCAGCTGCTCCTCTATGTTGAGAGGAGCCGGTTGAGGTGGCTCAGGCATCTTATTAGGACGCCTCCTTGGTGAAGTTTTTTGGGCACTTCTAATTGGGAGGAGATCGAAAGGAAAACCCAGGACACGCCGAAGGGACTATGTCTCACGGCCGGCCAGGGAATGCCCTAAAAGGTACAAAAAGTCCCTAAAGAAGTGTTGATCACCAGTTCAAAAGCTTGTTCGGGTTCATCTGAAACAAAATCTAAAGAAATGAGGGATGACTTTAACACTTGTAAATATGCATCCATTTCTTCAATAAGATCAGACTCTGATGTCTCAGAAATGGTTTTTCTTTGATTTATCGAGCAGTCGAGACTTTTTACGCACGTGCGGTTCATCTGAGAAGCCAAAGGGAACAATCATGCTTTTTTCTGAGACCTGAACAGAAATAGCCCGCTCTCCATCTCCATGCAAAGTCCTTCAGGCCACACCCTATACTTTGTGGCAGACCTAACACACATGATATGCATTTATTCTGGGCTTATTCCTCCCCCAACTTCTCCTGAGATTTTTATTTGATGCTCTACTCATGTGGACATAAAAGCTCTTCTCCTTTGCTTCTGTCTCCTAGATTATGGTTAAATGCGTAGGTAGTTCATTATTTATGAGCAGGGAGATAATTATGCTTTGCCAGAGCATTCTACGATTTTAACGTGTTTGATGAAATATTTTTTACTTACAAACAACAATGCCAAAAAAGAAAAAAAAAAACTAAAATTAAATCTTTGTTTCTTTAACCAAACAAGTAATTTATCTGAAATAAAATAGCACCATGTTTAACAGGAATGCCCCCAAACCTATTATTCCCATCTAAGGAAATTAATTTGAAGGCTGAGAATTATTTATTTATTTATTTTAACCCTTTGATGCATAATGGTCACTACAGTGGACAGGTACTCAAAATTGTTATTTATTTGTTTTTGCTATTAAGCACAGCTGTTGAAGACTTTATTTCATTTGAGCCCCTCCATTTGGACTTCAGTAAGCCAAGCCAACATATTTCATGCTCAGAATGCACGCTGTCCACTGAGGTGGACATGTAATAAATTATTTGTAAATTATAAACTTTTACTAAAATATTTGTTGAAATTTGTTTCATTCGCACCTAAAGACGAATGAAAAAAATTGTTACAAAAATCATGGTTGAAGATTTCATAATTCATGCATCAGAGGGTTAAACAGTCTTGGATTATTTAGGAGACCAAATATCACACATTATATGCTAACATAAGTCCTGCAATTTGTCAGGACCAACCAAACGGGCTAACGTCCAGCCAATCACGTATTGTGACGTAAACGGCAGCTCCCTCAGCTGATCTGAGAGCCTGAGTACATCTGATACCCCTGCATTAATTCCATGTAGATTTTGGTGTTATGCAAAAATGCTAAATGTGTGAAAATTAAAAAAACTTTGCTTAAAAAATCTTTGCGTCAACTATTATGAAATTTTGAGCAGTTTGATCTTTGCTTTGCTCAGGCTAGCCAATTGTTCATCAGTCAATTTGGATATACACTTTGTTTCTCCATACTGATGTTCAGGAAAAGTGAGATAGTAGCAATGTCTTTAAGTACAAGGCCTGTCCGATGACCAGTGTACGTGCATGCGTGGGTTTGTGTGTGTGTGTGTGTGTGTACAAAACTCAATGGAGGGTTTGTTACCCTTGCCAGTAGGTTTTGAAATTCTTCCAGTGTGCCCATGTCTCTCCTCGCGCTCGTGTGTGTGTGTGTGAAATCTTATAATCCTGTTGCATACGTGTGTTTTTTCAGGCCAGGCTGCAGGACAGATGTATACGTACCCTGCTCGTTGCTGGAGAAAGAAGAGGCGACTCCACCCTCCCCTGGATCCCCAGCTCCGCCTGTGTGAGCTTCGTCTAGGTAAGACAAGACAAACAACATACAGGCACATTGCTGCACCGAACACACACACACACACACACACACACACACACACACACACACACACACACACACACACACACACACACACACACACACACACACACACACACAACACACACACACACACACACACACACACACACACACACACACACACACACACACACACACACGAAAAGATGGTTTTGACACACCGTTGCACAAATAAAACCACTTTAACTCATGCATTGTTTCACCTTTGCAAACTAATGTCAATTTAATAGAAATGTTCATCATTTCTCTCAGGATTGGGCCATCTGGCTCTGGTTATCCCATCTCTCACACCAGGTCTCCAGGTTCATTCGCTCCCCTGAATCAATCCCCCCTCTTGCTGTTCTGTGGCTGCATGCACACACTTTATACTAACACCCCCCACATGTGACTCTTTCTCCCCGCTGCAGCTCAGAAGCACCCTAAGTAGGCCTCAATAGTAATTTATTCACAAGACAATAACATGTGAGTCGTATGAAGTGGCAGCATTGCTTTATGATGTGCATCCGTGCATGCTTACAGTTTTTGTTAGAGGGTTTAAGCAAAGGAATGCTCAGGAACCTGATAAGATGGTGGATAAAGGCATAGCTTTGTTTCTGCTTTCCTCATCCATTGTTTCACCCCTCGCTCTCTTCCAGACGCAATATAATACTCCAGAGCTTTCTGCAAAGAATGATTCCTTTTTAAGTTGAGGAAAGAGAGCTGCAACCTAAGTGCATGAAAGAAAATCTCTACAGCTTAAAGCGAGGAGATGGAGCTTTTTCTGTTTTGTTGTTTCGTTTTGCAGGTTGACCCAAATATCTACAATAACACCATGGGGATGTGAATACTCTCCTTTGTTTTGTTCGATGGTTGATGTTTATTTAATGCATCCTGTGCAGAGGTTTGTCTGTGTGCACAGATGCACAGAGGAGCTGTCATGAAACAGTGGTTTTCTTTACGTTTTGCTCTGAGCTTTTAGTGTCAGCAGCTTTTCTTAAAATAAACCTAAGTGATGTAAAACTCGAACTAAAGCTTGAAATGGCCATCACTGTTAGGGTATACAATGAGGATTTAAACAAAATTGGCATAAAGACAATACATTTACTGTAGAAATAGCCAGATGTTGTTTTAAAATGAATTATTTTATATTTGGTGGCATTAAAAAAAATCTTGGAACAAGTGCAACAACAATCTGCAATATTTTTGGTGAAGAATAAAAACAAATCAGTTTCACAGCTTTTGTGGGCAAAATTAGCATCATTTTAGGATATTGGTGATGAAACTGAAAAAAATTAAAAATCGGTCAGTCAATCAATCAGTCAATCAATCAATCAATCAACAAATCAACCAACTAACCAACCAATCAATCAATCAATCAATCAATCAATCAATCAATCAATCAATCAATCAATCAATCAACCAACTAACCAATAATCAATCAATCAATCAACCAACCAACCAACCAACCAACCAACCAATCAACAAATCAACCAACTAACCAACCAACCAACAACCAATCAACAAATCAACTAACAAATCAACCAACTAACTAACCAACCAACAATCAATCAATCAATCAATCATTGACCCAACATAAAACCTCTCTTCCCCACCCAGAAATTTTAATTATTATCACATCTATTGTGGTGAAGTAGGAGCTGAGCCAGAAAGCCAGGCTCTTGATTTACCGGTCGATCTACGTTCCTACCCTCACCTATGGTCATGAGCTTTGGTTAATGACAGAAAGAACGAGATCGCGGATACAAGCGGCCGAAATGAGTTTTCTCTGTGGCGTGGATGGGCTCAGCCTTAGGGATAGGGTGAAGAGCTCTGTCATTCGGGAGAGACTTTAAGTAGAGTCGCTGCTCCTCCATATCGAGAGGAGTCAATTGAGGTGGTTTGGGCATCTTGTTACGATGCCTCCTGGACGCCTCCCTAGGGAGGTTTTTCAGGCATGTCCTGCCAGCAGGAGGCCCCCTGGCTGACCCAGGACACTTTGGAGAAAGTACATCTCCGACCTTGCCCCGGGAACGCCTTGGGGTCCTACCGGAGGAGCTGGTGGAGGTGGATAAACGGAAGACACGATCACATTTATGTACCCCTCCTCCCCATTTATAGCCCTCAAGCACACACACAGTCATGTTAAATCTTTGTTAAACTTGGAGAAATTTTTGTTTGTAACAGACAAGATCAAGGACTCCATTCTTTCGTTCTTTTTTAAACACAGAAACAGTTTTGTTTACCTGTTTGTAGCTACAGTTTCGCCGACGGCTGCCGGCTTCTTCAGGCTGACCTGTTCAGCGTCAGCCTGAAGAAGCCGGCAGCCGTCGGCGAAACTGTAGCTACAAACAGGTAAACAAAACTGTTTCTGTGTTTAAAAAATAACGAAAGAATGGATTTAGAAAGACACAGAAAGAACACACCTAAGATGTTCAAAGATCAAGGACTGTTGACAGTTTTTACAGCAGGAAGCTCTGATATATAAGACGACACAATAAATGAAAGATTTTAATAAGAAGAAGAATGAGAATAAAGATCCAGAAACAACCATTCTTCTGTGGGTCCAGACTGATGTAGAAACCTACCTTTTAAGTCATTTATGGACTCTCAATCAACTGGAAATATATATTAGATCAGTGCAATTAGAAGGGAAGGAGTATATTGGCATTAACAACTTGTCCATCTCCTGGCATACGTTAACTTTTGAATCAAAACATCATTTATCACAACTCCAATATGCATGGTGTTTTTTTAAATGTGACTTTGTGCAACAAAAACTTCAGGGCTTGTGGTAAATATGAATAAGCATTTCATTGTTGCAGCATATTAAATGGCCAATAGCAACACATTGCTGTGTGGCGCGTTAAAGAGAAAATGTCCATGTTATAAATGCATTTTCAGTTTTTCCTTCCAATAAAAGCTTGGAACGACAAGCAGTGAAACAAAAAAATCCATTGGCTGCCATCTTTAAACACATGACTCTCTCTCTCTCTCTCTCTCTCTCTCTCTCTCTCTCTCTCTCTCTCTCTCTCTCTCTCTCTCTCTCTCTCTATATATATATATATATATATATATATATATATATATATGTGTGTGTGTGTGTGTGTGTGTGTGTGTGTTATGTTTTTATTTTTATAACTATTTCTATCCTTACCGTGCCTCTACAGAAGCAGAGCTGGCCCCTAAGCGTGAGGGGCCACCAGGGGAGGCCACGGCCCTGGAGGCCCTTCTGAGGAGTGACAACCTGCTGGAGAAAAAAAACAACATCGCTAAAGAAGAGGAAACTCTGCTGGAAATACAGGTTTTTGTGCATTTTTTGTATAATTCTAAAACAGGTTTAAATAATGTCAGGTTATCTATTACTAACGAAATGTGATTGCAGCATTAAAACTTGTAGAAAAGTACCTTTGCACCATGGAGCGGAGCATACCTCTGTGTTCTGCTTTGCCTGATTTTTTCATGCAGTGATTTATTTTGGTCTAATCATGCAGAGAGTGCTGGAGGCGGAGGAAAACGGGGACAGTTTCCACGATGAGGATGAGTTTGAACTTGATACTCCAAAGAGAAAGAACAAGAATAGAGGAAAAGTAAGTGAACAAGACGTGAGACACCAACTCCTCTCTGAGGTTTGTGGTGTGAAGGGTAGTATGGACGCCAACAGGGAACATGTTTTGGGTGTAACATGAGAAAAACTCATCTTTGCACCATTATTTTATTTCATTTTTTGCGAAAATAGATAAAATGAGTCTAATATCTTAATTATCTTGGTTAGTTGGTTAGTTTCCGGAACTGCGCTGCTCTGGGTGGCTGCATGTTGGAGTAGCTCTGTTGACTATATGTAAGTTTTGCCTTTTTTTTGGGACATTTTACTTTTCTGTTTCTGGTGCTGTGAAGCTTAGAGGATTTTTACTGCAATTTTTTCACTTTTTTCACTTTTTGAGCGTTTGTTATGATGCGTAACCATGGTTACAAGCTGGTTTACAATCGGGAGCAGCTGATTAACATTGGAAAGGCTGAAATAATACCTCAACTGAAGCCTCAAGTCCCAAATGAGCTAAAATGCAAGAAGCGTGTATGCAGAGCGGGAGCAAAACGGAAACAGAGAAAGAGGAATTTCAAACCATCTCTTCCTTCGATCATAATGGACAATGATAAATCAGGTGCTGGTCAGCATCAGAAGCAGGGACCTGAAAAGGCTCAACAGCCTAATAAAAAAGGCTGGTTCTGTTCTGGAGATGACTGTGGAACCACTGGAGGAGATAATGCAAAGAATGATTCTCCAGAGAATCAAGAAAATGATGGACAACCCTGAGCATTCTCTTCACAAGACTGTCCGACAACGGAAGAGTGTCTTCAGTCAGAGGCTTCTTCAGTTTGGCTGCAACACCGACCGCTACTGGAGATCCTTCCTGCCAACAGCCATTGTAATATACAACAACTCTTTGATGACTGGATTATTATTATTATTCTCAGCAATCAATTTCCCCCTGGGATTAATAAAGTATTTTTGAATTGAATTGATTTGAATTAAAAAATGCATGCGTGTTGGATTTTTGTTTTAACGCTGGAACACGTGCAGGATTCCACACCTGATCGATGTTTATCGTTTCCCTCCAGAACAGAGGATCAACTCGCAGAAGGACAGAACCTGTTAATACTGATGACCAGGATAAACCTTACGTCTGTGACAGTAAGGATATAAATAGCTTGCTTTTTTTGGTCTGCTTGTCACATTATCCTGCTATTAAATTAGAGAAAAGAAGATGAGTGTTTCTCTAATCCTTTAATTATACTGTTTTATCTGTGGTCCTAAGAACTGGTCCTGATCTGCAGCATGAAAATAAATCCGTTTCTTCAGATTCGATTTGACCAGCATGCCTCTTTTGTATTTGGACAGAATCCCTCTCCGGAATGAATTGCCCTTTTGTTGATAGAGACTGAAAAACAAACTCCAACAAATGAATGTCATCCTCATTTTATGTCTCGTTCTGTCTTTCCGTTATTGTCTGCCTTTGTGTCTTCTCTGTTTCAGATAGATACAAACAAAAGCATAATTCAAAAAAGACTGAAGAAGGTATCTGAACGAGTCACACTATTCTCTTGCTAGTGACTACTACCATCAGCTGTTTCTGCTAACATAGCTTCTGGCATGAGAATGGCTGAGTGAATGCTGCTTGTCCAGAGTTCCTCCTCATGAAGTCAGCGCGAACGCTGCATTACACTAACGCTACGCTCGGACAGTGCAAACTTAATCTACATTAGAAGCTCGGCTGATGCTGCACAGAGGGATGCATGTTTCGTGTGTTTCAAGCTAATGACTCACAAATCCTGCAAAAGCGTTATATTTTTTAATAATAGGATTATTTTTGAGGATCTCCCTAAAATTTGAACTGAAGTGGTTGCAGCGTTGTTGCACAGAAAAATCTGGATAAACAGTTATTTTATTGTAAGTTTTTCTTGTTTCCTGCTGTTTTAGTCTGTATTGGAGATTTAACCAATAGAATCTCTTCTTGGCAATAAATATGAAGCAGAAAAAGCTTTTCTACACCCTTATATTCATTGAATGTTTTCTTTCACGTGCTCTTCTGTTAACAAATCTGCAATGTCTCACCCGCAGTCTGTGGAAAGCGCTACAAGAACCGGCCCGGCCTGAGCTACCACTACACACACACTCACCTAGCCGAGGAGGAAGGCGAGGAAGAGAAGGAGCCGGAGATGGCTCCAGCTTCACCACTGAACTCTGACAACCACAAATGTAAGATTTGAATTCACAAAAGCTAATGCTCCAAATCTTCCTAAAACAGCTCAGTAACTGTTTCTTACTCAAATCACTCCATCTTTTTCCGTGTATACCCTTGTCGTGTTTTTCTGTTCCTGCCGACAGCACAGAAGGGTTTGGATGGCACCGTTATTCCCAACGACTATTGTGACTTCTGCCTTGGAGATCAGGACTCAAACAGGAAAACAGGGCAGGCAGAGGAGCTGGTGTCCTGCTCTGACTGTGGACGCTCTGGTGAGTCTGAAACTCAGAAAACTAACAATAAAGCACTTCTTTTGTTCTCATAAGCAATGAAAAAAATTTAGGTTTTTCAAAAGGAATCAGTGGCACTCCTGCCCGAAAAAACCTTATCAACGGCAGTTCCGTGTGTAGAAGAAGACCCTAAATGGATCCTAAATATTCCTCCGATCTTCCCCTCTCCACCACAGGTCATCCTACATGCCTGCAGTTCACTGAGAACATGATGCAGGCGGTGAGGACGTACCAGTGGCAGTGCATCGAGTGCAAGTCCTGCAGCCTCTGTGGCACTTCAGAGAACGACGTACGTAGCACAGAGGGAAGCTTTCCTCTGTTTTATTCCAAGTTCTCCAACCTTTTTGTCAGCAATGACGGATTCTTGTCTTTGATCCACATCCTGAGTGATACCCTCTGCTTGTTGCTGTGGTATTTAGGATATTGGTGTGTGTGTTTCATATGCAGGACCAGCTGCTGTTCTGTGACGACTGTGACAGAGGATACCACATGTACTGCCTGAAACCTCCAATGACTCAGCCTCCTGAAGGTGAGAGCAGCTCTCTCAGGTTTTATCATTAACTGCATTTTTTTCAACCTCCGCGCCGTGAGAATGAACATCCCAGCTCTAAAGCCGATCTTTATTCGCCCATGTCACACGTCACGTGATCAGGAAGCAGAAAGTCCATCTGTTAGATCGTTTTTGGCCGCTGCTGTAAAAAAAGTGAGGCGCAAACCAGAAAAGCTTCTTCATATCACAATTCGACGACGGATTGTGAAAGAACGGATAACGCTCGAAACGCGCGGATTCTTGCTGATGTAAGAAGTGAGTCTCTTTGTTTTGGTAGTTTTGGCGTTGACATCATCCTAGAGCGCAACTTTCTGTGACTCTTGAAAAAACGGTAATAACGCCGAAAAACGCTAGCAGCGAAGGGCTTTTCCGCTCAGGAAACGGCTTGCGGTAAATGAGTTAAACACATCAGTGGATGGATGCTACGTATGTGATGTGCTGTTGTTGCAGATTGTATGAAATAAAGTTAACGTGTCTCTGTTTTTCTTCTCTCAGGGAGCTGGAGCTGCCATTTGTGTCTGGACCTGTTAAAGGACAAAGCCTCGGCCTACATAGAAGCATAACATCAACCCAAAAGTGGTGCAGAACACACACGCGTATTTAGAAACACACACATAGACAGTTCATCATGACACCCACTTGTACACATTCCAGTGCATTGCAGGCTCAGGTCGTTTGGTGAAAGAGGGGAAGAGATCTACCTCTCAGAAACTTGCGCAACTCTCAGCACAGCGCCACCAACAGGCGATCCCTGCCACAGGTTAGCTAACAGCAGGTGTGCTGCTCTGTCTTTCCTCTACCTCTCCACCCAGTGGACGACGAGAAGCCAAAGCATGATCGAAATGGACACTTGTCTTTGAACGTGTAAAACAACAAAAGTGTATTTGTGACAGAAATCTGTAAGCTGTATCACTTTCTCCACTTAGCTGCTTGAGATCTTCAGCAGAAAACACATGACTGAGTCTGACTTTATGTTTGTTTAAATTCCTCCTTCCAGCTCCTCTCCTGTGTTTAGACACTGCAGTGACATTCCTGGTTTATATCTGCAGGCTCCGGGCCCATTATCCTGCTTTTCGCAGGTTTTCGTCAAAGCTTTGGTGAAATTTTCATCCTGAGGGGGAAAACAGCCTCGAGGATTGCTTTCTTTTAGTGCCAAGTGACATTTTTGAGAACAAAACAGGTATTGCTGATAAAAGTCCACTGTTCCTTTCAATGAGATCAGTTATTGTAAATCTAGGCTTTGGTGTTCACTCTAAAAAGGATTTATTAATAACTACGTTATTCACGACATTAGTACTATAAAATGTGGGTTACATGAATTGGTAACCATGCACTAAGATGTGAGAAACACTTGAGCATTAAATAATGAGAAAAACACCAGATTAGTGAAGGCAGCATGACTTGTTTCTAACATGTAGATTTTTTTCGTTTGTTGCTCAAACATGAAGGAAACAAGTTTTCTTAATTGAAATTTTACTTTTTAACAGTGAGCAATCTCAGTTCATGTGCTCTATATGCTGCCACATCATAGTATTTAAGTTTTTTTCTGATTGCCATGTAAAATAAAACACAAGACTCAGTCTTCCAAAGGTCTACAGCAGGGATAAAAGTGGTTTTGCTGCAGATCTGAGGTCAGAAAAAGGGGTTTGAATCTCTCAAGCGTAGATGTTCAAGTATCTGGTGGTAGGATGGAGCAAGAGATAGTTTAATGATTCACGACTTGAGTAAAGTAGAGCTGCTGATCCTCATCTGAGCATCTGAACAGAGTTCTTCCTTTTGGTGAAGAACTTCTGAATCTATCTTGGGATTATTGTGGGATCCTCCAGGAAGAGCTGGAAAGTGTCACCAGAGGAAAGGGGCATCAGGGTTCCTCTTTTGGACCCGTTTCCTCTACAACCCGGCTGTGGATACTTATTTGACCCCATTAATGACATTTCATGCACTCTAAAGCTTCAGAGCAGAAAGGAAGAAGCATCACACAGAAACTCAAAAGAAAAGGAGAAAAAGAAAACGTAAAAAAGTCGTAAAGCACACTTGGTGTGTAAATCCTGACGGGGCCATCAGGTTCTGCAGTTGTGTTTTTGGTATCGTGATTTTGTAGCTACTTGATATCACTTTTCCACCGACAATCATAAATTAGCGTAGATGTATTGTGTTAAAGCATACAACGGGTTTCTCGTCTTACAGCTGATAAAATAACTGTGTGCTGGTTATTCATGTCACTTTGAGTAAAATCATGTGTAGTTTTTTTTTGTTAAACAGTAAGTTTTGTGTTTAAATAATAAAAACTCTGTAAATCTTGTTCTCTTGTCTTTTATCTGCATATTAGAGTAACATCCTATCACCACTAGAGGTCACTGTTTATCTGTAGTATGCTCTAAAAGTTACTGATCATAAAACTCTTTAAATTCTCTTTTTCACATTTTATTTCAGGCAAATTACTAACTTTCAGAGATTGAAATATTTCGGATCAACAAACTGGTGATTTTTACATTAAACCTTGAGTAGGGAGTTATGAATCAGGTTTAAACTTTTACAACAGGAAGGTTCTGGAGTTGTATCTTACTTAAACTATAGGTTTTCCATCCATCCATCCATTCAAGACATCACCTTCATTTCCCACCAGAACTAATCGCTTCTTCGGATTTGCTGGTTCTGAGCAACATTCCACATCACACCATTCTCCGTCTCATTCACCTTAGTTACACCATACATTTAGTGTTAAAGATAGTCTAGTTTAATTTGTTTAGTAATAAATCTTTAAACTTTTAAAACTTGACTCTCTCTCCTGTTGCCTCTGATTTAATACGAAGCTGTTATCTAATCCCTGCAATAAAAAGTTCCAATTTTCTGGTTAAACAGTACCCACAGATCCATAAGGTTGATTTCATATTTCCTATGGAATCTTATGTCTTATGGCTCATTAAATATCATGTAAATTAAACCATTACAGCACTAAAGTGATGCAGAATGAAACACTGAAATAAAATCTGATATATCTGTCATTTTCCTTAAAACAGATAATTTACCTTAAAGGCTAAGTGGAAATGTTTCACCTCAGGTGAAAACATTTGAAAACCCACATGTCTTCATCACTGGTTAAAGCAACATAACTGCTCAGGTCTAATACACCTGGTGAACAACGGAACTCGAAGTTCTGGATGTCCCTGGTCTCAGTGATGGAGCTGGTATTGTTGTCCAGTGGTGCCACACCTGTTCCTTTTCTTTAGAGTCACCTTGGTTAGCAGAGGCTTTTCTTTTTTAGTCCTGATGATGGAGCCGACACTGTGTTCCTTCTCAACAAAGATCCCCTGATCACTGTTGTTCTTGGGGGAAGACTCCACAACTTTTGCAGGTTTCAGTGGAGTTTGAAGTCCCCATCTTTCTTGATTTGACCCTCTCCAGACAGTTGGTGCGAGGGTCAGTGTGTTGACTGATGCTGTGTCTGACCTCACTGGGGTTGACCGCATCACCGGTTGCGCATGTTGGGGTCTTCCCTCTCAGCTGTACAATATTAAGAAAAACTTGCTAACTTCATAAATCGAAGAACATTATAATAAAACAGAGACAAGAAGCCCGATGATGTGTTCTGCACACTGGGAATGTGTTAAAGAAAGCTATTTATCCATCCATTCATTTTCTGTACCCGCTTATCCACGCAGGGTCGCGTGGGGCTGGTATCTCCAGCATTCTTTGGGCAGGCAGGCGGGGTACACCCTGAACAGCTTGCCGGTCCATCGCAGGGAAACACAGTGACACACAGGATAAACAACAATGCATGCACACACTCACACCTAAAAAGTTCAGGGAGACTAATCAACCTGACAGTCAGGTTCTTGCTGCAGCAGTGCAGCAAGAACTGCAAGAACACTGTGCAGCCCTTAAAGCAAGCTAGTAACTAGAATTTCAAAAATGTTAAATTTTGACAATAAATGTTTGGATTCCATTCCGCTTGCAAAATATCCGATTTTTTTTTTCATTCTTTGGGCCATGTGCTTGAGTTTTCTGACTTTCTGTGAACAGACAAGAAAAAGGTAGAAACAAACAATGCAAGATAAACTGCTGATATTTTCATATTCATAAACCTGTAAGATTGTTCAAATAATTCAATTCAAGTTTACTTATATAGCGCCAAATCACGACAAGCGTCGTCTCAAGGCACTTCGCATAATAAACATTCCAGTTCAGGTCAGTTCGTTAAGCCAATCAGAAAAATGTTTCCTATATAAGGAACCCAGCAGGTTGCATCAAGTCACCGACTAGTGTCAGTGACTTTACAGCAATCCTCAAACTAAGCAAGCATTTAGCGACAGCGGAGAGGAAAACTCCCTTTTAACAGAAAGAAACCTCCAGAGAATCCTGGCTCAGTATAAGCAGCCATCCACCACGACTCACTGGGAATGGAGAAGACAGAGCAGACACACACAGACACACACACGTGTTTTTATGGGTTTGTGTGGACTACGTTTTCTGAGTTGTTTGTGTGGACCCTGACTTCCACTATAGCCAGAATGGTGCAAAAATTATGTTTAACTCTAGGTGGGACAAAGGAAGCTTCCTCTAGGATTTTGGTTGTGTGGACCGGGTAAATGTACACACAATGGTGAATGTCCACACAATGTTGGTCTCCCGTCAGGGGTTGGTCCACACAAACCCATAAAGACAAGTCCACACACACACACGCAAACACACACACACACACACACACACACACACACACACACACACACACACACACACACACACACACACACACACACACACACGCAAACACACACACACACGCACACACACGCACACACACACACACACACACACACACGCGCGCACACACACACACACACACACACACACAAGCTTCATAATCAACATCATGAGGCAGATCAGAGGGATTATAGGTCTGGGAAGAAAAACACATGAACTCTTAGGCCTTTTTTTCTTTGACTCACGGTGTCAGCAGCGGTCAGGTTAATGCCAAGTCCTCCCGCCCTCGTACTAAGCAGAAACACAAAGATGTCCGTGCTGTGGACGGAAGAAGATGAAGAGGAGAAACAAATATGTTAACTTTATTGGTTGAGACTGAGATCAAGACTTTTCAAGGTCTTATATAGCGCCAAATCACGACAAGCGTCGTCTCAAGGCACTTCGCATAATAAACATTCCAATTCAGGTCAGTTCATTAAGCCAATCAGAAAAAATTTGTCCTATATAAGGAACCCAGCAGGTTGCATTTACAGCAATCCTCATACTAAGCAAGCATGTAGCGACAGTGGAGAGGAAAACTCCCTTTTAACAGGAAGAAACCTCCAGAGGATCCTGGCTCAGTATAAGCAGCCATCCTCCACGACTCACTGGGGATCGAGAAGACAGAGCAGGCGCGCGCACACACACACACACACACACACACACACACACACACACACACACACACACACACACACACACACACACACACACACACACACACACACATACACACACACACACACACACACACACACACACACACACACCAAACAATGTGTCTATGGTTACATTGTGAAATAATGAGAGAGTGGGGGTTACTTTTCAGATTATTATTATTTTTTGTTCCTCTGCATTGACTCCTCCACTGTCCTCCCTCGAGATTCCTGAAGCTCTCCAGTGTTTCCACAAATCCACCACAGTCCCAGCTGGAAGATCACTAAGATTATTATTATTATTAGTCATTCAACTTATCAATAAAAGAAGAATCAAAAGCTTTTATCTGTGTTGTGATTTTGTCAGATAAAGGCAGGGTTAGGGTTTGGGGTTGCTGTGTTGTGTTGGAAGGGTTCTTGAACCCACATGATCCCAAAGGTCATGACGGGGTGTCCAAAAACTGGCCTGTGGGGGATGTCGGACCCGAGTGATCCAAAGACTTTCATGAAGAACCAAAACCAACAAGGCACTTCAACAGGGTTATGTAGACCAAGGCTCCTCCTAGAGGCGCCACTGAACATTTTACTCTTGAAAAGGAGGATCTGGCCAAGTTTCAACTCTTGAAATTGAGGTTTTATTTCAGGAGTGGTGGACTTAAGAGAAGACTTACAACTGTTCCCCCAAAACAGTGAGCATGTGTTGCTGCAAAAGTATGGGATGCTGGAGTCACTTGTGAGAGCTATTTGGTCTGACACCAAATCGTGAGATTTGTCCATGTTCTTGGCACTAATCCAAGTTTTGGGCTGGACTTTGCCAGATCTGCCCCTTGGCTCTGATCCAGTTGGTTGTGTTCATGGACTCAGCCTTGAACCAGGCATTCGCTAAGCAGTAAAAATGGCCTGGATGGATATTTACTATACTCACAACCGCAGCTCGATCGATAGGCAGATTGGTTCGGCGTCTGCAGTGATGCGGACACTGAGCCGATCTGTCATGGTGAAGAGGGAGCTGAGCCAGAAAGCCAGGCTCTCGATTTACCGGTCCATCTACGTCCCAATCCTCACCTATGGTCATGAGCTTTGGGTAATGATTGAAGAACGAGATCGTGAATACAAGCGGCCAAAATGAGTTTCCTCCGTAGGGTGGCCGGGCTCAGCCTTAGAGATAGGGTGAGGAGCTCGGACATTCGGTAGGGACTCAGAGTAGAACTGCTGCTCCTCCGGATCGAAAGGAGTCAGTTGAGGTGGTTTGAGCATCTGGTCAGGATGGCTCCTGGACGCCTCCCTGGGGAGGTGTTTCGGGCATGTCCTGCCGGCAGGAGGCCCCCGGGTCGACCCAGGACACGTTGGAGAGGTTACATCTCCAATCTGGTCCGGGAACGCCTTGGGGTCCTGCCGGAGGAGCTGGTGGAGGTGGCCGGGGAGAGGACGGTCTGGAGCTCCCTAGTTGGGATGCTGCCCCCACGACCCGGACCCAGATAAGCGGAGGAAGACGGCGACGATGACGACAACCGCAGCTCTGAGGTGAAACACACTCCACAGCTTATTAAGCCAGTTGGGTCAGCAAAACACCCAACGCCAGAATCTCAGATTGTTGGGAAAGTAGTGTTTAGCATCAGAATGACGAGAACGTTTATGCAGCATTAGAGCTCATATGTTATGAAAGCATTTTCCTTTTCTAAACAGTTTTACTCATAATTATATAATCATTATCAACAGCCAAGGCTGAAATTTTTGGGTTAATGTAAAATCATTATTGAAGTTAAAATCTCAACTATTCATCATTTACCACCACGATTAAATAAAATCTTAAAGCAAAAATTTTAAAAATATTCATCTAGCGTGCTGAGCTGGGTGTTCCAGAGTTTATGTAAATAAGAGGGCTTCTACAAGCGTTAGAGAGGATTTATTGATGTTTTATTTTCACAAAGGTACAAGAACAAAGAGACGTGAGCGAGAACTGCAGTCTGAAATCGCCATCTATCGTCCTTCACAATGAAGCTGTAATGGTTTAATTTACATGTTATTTAATGAGCCATAAGACATAAGATTCCATAGTAAATATGAAATCAACCTTATGGATCTGTGGGTACTGTTTAACCAGAAGATTGGAACTTTTTATTGCAGGGATTATGTAACCACGTCACATTAACTCAGAGACAACAGGAGAGAGAGTCAAGTTTTAAAAGTTTAAAGATTTATTACTAAACAAATTAAAACTAGACTAACTTTAACACTAAATGTATGGTGTAACTAAGGTGGATGAAACGGAGAATGGTGTAGTGTGGAATGTTGTTCAGAACCAGCAAAGCCGAAGAAACGATCAGTTCTGATGGGAACTGAAGGTGATGTCTTCGCGTTAAGCTTTGGTTAGGAGATTCATAAACACATTCGACGCCATTCTGTCGGTCTATGTACCCTTAGTGGAAGTCCCCGTCTAGATCAGGAGGTGTAGAGGTCCAGCTCAGTGGCTTTTAAAATCTTTTAAAATGGGGTGGCCCAGGTGAGGCACAGCTTTGTGCATGGATGGCACCAATGGTTATGCTTTTTTTTTTTTGTTTTACCCCCAAGCCTTTTGTGGACAATGAAAAGCCTATTTAAAAGTAAATTAGTGTGGTGGCACCTGGGGTGGCCAATCAGATTCCTAGGGTGGCATGTGCTACCCCAGGCCACTCCCTGGACACGCCCCTGGTCCAGCTTGACCTTTGTGGAGCCGAAGTCGGTAGAAACAGCCGCGGCAGCCGACCACCAGTCTTGAGATACTTCCGGGTCGTGACAGTTTATTGGCATCTAACAAGACCCAAAACTGGGCCGTGATGGTTCAGCTTTTATTCTGAAAGGAACCGTTGCAGCAGGTGGAACAGCAACAGATTTTATCCAGCTTGTCGTTGGTTCTTTCGGCTGAAGAGGAAAGTTACGGATTGGCCACTCCGACAACTTCTCTAGAACGCTTTGAACTGTGTTAAAGATGACTTGGGCATAGTTTTACACTTCTGATGTTTTGGTTTATGGTCGAATGAAAAGTTGACAGATTTATCAAGCACCACCAAAACCACGCCTCCGTCAGATCTGGCAGATTCTGATTGGATCAGAAAAGTAATGTGTCATGTCTTAACGCTACGTGAGATCAGTCCTAGTGGAAACATTTAAAGTCATGTAACTTATTATATTCTATAGGATTATAATAGAGTAATTAATATTTTGATTTCACAGATTGGTCACATCTTATTATTGACTAACACTTTGTTTAATTAGCTTTATTAAAAATAGAGTTCTTTGATTTATTAAAAGGAGAGAGTCCTTTCTTCATTCTTCTCTTGAGCTGGAAGGAAGCAGTTTAGAAGCAAATGCATGACCTTGAGGCCATATCTCATGCAGACTAGTCCTGTGTCAGAGGCATCTGTGGAGAGAGGGTGAATAACCTTCGGTGGAATAGCACCTCCATCACGTTGCAAAGCATCTCACCCAAATTGATTATGAAAAACAATTTAAAAAAGACTCTTGAGGTTTGAAAGATGTTTTCGTGTTTGTTTGGTCTCAGCAGCTTGTGGTCATTCCAGTAATAAGCGACAGGAAAGAAGTGGTGGCGAAGCTGGGATTCAGCAGCAGCTGCTCCAACATCTGTCTGCCTTGCTCTCGTGTGGTCACTGAACACATCGCTCCTTTCCACATATTCACCAGCGTTCCACCTGGTAAATCACGACGATTGTTAGTATAAAGGATAAAAAAAATTATATACAGTATATATGGTTCTTATGTTTTTTCCTACCTAGAAAAGTGTTGATGCTTCTCATCGAGGAGAAAATAGACAGTGAGTGATTCTCCTCCGGAGTCAGATCAGCGATGTTGGGAGCCACATCGCCCTCCTGTAAAAGCAGGAGTGCACAAAACAAGGACAAAAATGTAATGTGTGTACGTTTTATGGAATAATCTGCAAAATAAGTGGATGAAGAAGCATGTACCCTTAGGACTCGGCTTGGTAGAGGGGTCAGGAACTTCACTGACTTTTCCAGGCTGGAATGGAAGTGAGCTGCAGAAACGTACTCTGCTGAGTTCATCCAGCTGTTAGCAAACAAAACCTCTTCAGAGGAGTAGTGGCTCTGCCTGGGGAGAAAAATGGGACACTGAAGTGAAGAAAAGCTAAAGAAAACTGCAGAAACCAAACCAACTTGTTGGCTGCATGCTTTTTGTTACAGAAACAGGGCCTGGAGCCGCTAACTGGTTTGCATTCATGCACCTGAGCGGATCTAAAGTCAGATTAGCATCATTTCATTAATTTGGACAAAATTGTAATTAAGAACTCCTACAGTTTTTTTAAACACAGGATAAGATACTGGAGGTAAAACAAGAAATAAGAAAAGTTTTCTTATTTTAAACATTTTCATCGTGGTGGAGGGGTTTGAGTGTCTCAATGATCCTGGGAGCTAAGTTGTCTGAGGCTTTCTGCCTCTGGTAGGGTCACCCATGGCAAACAGGTCCTAGGTGAGGGATCAGACAAAGAGCAGCCCGAAGACCTCTTATGATGAATTATATAAATGGAAACCGTGTTCCCTCGCCCGGACGTGGGTCACCGGGCCCCCCTCTGGAGCCAGGCCTGGAGGTGGGGCACGTTGGCGAGCGCCTGGTGGCCGAGCTTTCACCCAAGGAGCCCGGCCGGGCACAGCCCGAAGAGGAAACGTGGGTCCCCCTTCCCATGGGCTCTCCACTCGTGGGAGGGACCAAAGGGGTCGGGTGCAGTGTGTGACGGGTGGTAGTCGAGGGCGGGGACCTTACCGGTCTGATCCTTGGCTACAGAAGCTAGCTCTTGGCACATGGAGTGTCACCTCTCTGGTGGGGAAGGAGCCTGAGTTGGTGTGTGAGGTTGAGAGGTTCCGACTAGATATAGTCGGACTCTCCTCAACGCATGGCTCTGGTCTCTGGAACCAGTTTCCTTGAGAGGGGTTGGACTTTCTAACACTCTAGAGTTGCTCCCACTGAGAGGCGCCGAGCAGGGGTGGGCATACTAGTTGCCCCCATCTTGGTGCCTGTACGTTGGGGTTTACCCCAGTGAATGAGAGGGTAGCCTCCCTCCGCCTACGTGTGGTGGGACAGGTTCTGACTGTGGACTGTGCTTATGCACCAAACTACAGTTCAGACCACCCACCCTTTTTGGAGACCTTGGAGGGGGTGCTGGAAAGCGCTCCTTCCAGTGACTCCCTCGTTCTGCTGAGGGACTTTAACGCTCACATGGGCAACGACAGTGAGACCTGGAGAGCCTCCCCCCCCCCCCCCCCCCCCCCCCAAACTGAATTCGAGTGGTGTTTTGTTATTGGACTTCTGTGCCAGTCATGGATTGTCCATAATGAACACCATGTTCAGACATAAAGGTGTCCATATGTGCTCTTGGCACCAGGATACCTTAGGCTGCAGCTCGATGATCGACTTTGTTGTTGTTTCGTCTGACCTGCGGCCGTATGTCTTGGACACTCGGATGAAGAGAGGGGCAGAGCTGTCAACTGACCACTACCTGGTGGTGAGTTGGGTGGTGGGGGAGGATGCCAGTCAGATCAGGCAAGCCCAAACGTATCGCGAGGATCTGCTGGGAATGTCTGGCAGAGTCTCTTATTAGAAGGAGCTTCAATTCCCACCTCTGATAGAACTTCCTAAATGTTCCAGGGGAGGCGGAGGACATAGAGTCTGAATGGACCGTGTGCCGTGCCTCCATTGTTGAGGCGGCAGACCAGAGCTGTGGTGCCTGTCGTGGTGGCAACCCCTGAACCCGCTGGTGGACACCGGCGGTTAGGGATGCTGTCAAGCTGAAGACAGAGTCCTATCAGGTCTTTTTGGCATGTGGGACTCCAGAGGCAGCTGACGGGTACCGGCAGTCCAAGCGGAATGCGGCTCAGGTGGTCACCAAGGCCAAAACCCGGGCAAAGGAGGAGTTTGGTGAGACCATGGAGTGAGACTTCCGTACAGCTTCGAGGAGATTCTGGTCCACCATCCGGCGCCTCGGGGCGGGGGAAGCAGTGCGCTACCAGCACTATCTATAGTGGGGACGGTGCTGCTGACCTCTACTCAGGGCGTTGTGGATCGGTGGGCAGAATGCTTCGAAGGCCTCCTCAATCCCACGACACATCTTCAACTGAGGAAGCAGAGTCTGGGGACTTTGGGTTGTGACTCCGCCAAGGCTGCCCTTTGTCACAGATTCTGTTCATAACCTTTATGGACAGGATTTCTAGGTGCAGCCAAGGTGTGGAGGGCATCCATTTTGGTGGTCTGAGGATCAGGTCTCTGCTTTTTGCAGATGATGTGGTCCTGTTGGCTTCATCAGAACGTGATCTTCGGCTTTCGCTGGAGCGGTTCGCAGCCGAGTGTGAAGCAGCTGGGATGAGAATCAGCTCCTCTAAATCTGAGACCACGGTCTTGATTCAGAAAAGGGTAGAATGCCTTCTCCGGGTCAGGGATGAGGTCCTGCCCCAAGTGGAGGAGTTTAAGTATCTCGGGGTCTTGTTCACGAGTGAAAACTGGAGCGTGAGATCGATAGGCGGATTGGTGCTGCATCTGCAGTGATGCGGGCGTTGTACCAGTCTGTCGTGGTGAAGAGAGAGCTGAGTCAGAAAGCAAAGCTCTCGATTTACCGGTTGTTCTACGTTCCTATCCTCACCTATGGTCTTGAGCTTTGGGTAGTGACCGAAAGAACGAGATTGCAGATACAAGCGGCCGAAATGAGTTTTCTCCAAAGAGCGGCTGGGCTCTCCCTTAGAGATAGGGTGAGAAGCTCGGTCATCCGGGAGGGGCTCGGAGTAGACCCGCTGCTCCTCCACATTGAGAGGAGCCAGTTGAGGTGGCTTGGGCATCTGGTCAGGATGCCTCCTGGATGCCTCCCTGGTGAGGTTTTCCAGGCGTGTCCATCTGGGAGGAGACCTACAGGTTGACCCAGGACACGGTGGAGGGACAATGTCTCTCAGCTGGCCAGGGAACGCCTTGGGATTCCCCGGGAGGAGCTGGCCCAAGTGGCTGGGGAGAGGGGAGTCTGGGCCTCTCGCCTTAGGCTACTGCCCCCGCGACCCAACTCCCAATAAGCGGATGAAAATGGATGGAACATTTTCACTACTTGTTTTAGCTTTAGCAAATTTGGTGAGGAAAATGTGACACAGGAGCCACTTCTCTTTAGTTCTGTTCACCAGACTGTGACTCTAACCAGGAAACTCCCCAAATCTGGAGTTTGGATTAGTATGATACAGATTGCTGTGTCTTATGTGAGGAAACGGCCTGCAGATTTTTTCTTTCTTACCCTAAAATCACCTGAGAGACTATTTGATTTCTGGGTTGTTTTTTTTTTCAGTGTTTAGCCAACTTTTAGTAGCAGGCAGACGTGATCAGAGATTGTGTTTGTGCAAATTCAAATGTTTAAACACGTGCAAAAAATTATATTGACGTTAATGTTGGGAGAAAATAACAGGAAGTGGCTGTTGAGAAGGATCAGAAGTACTTGGCGTTGCATGATGCAGAAGCCTGAAGCGAACCCATCTGAGCCACCCAGTAGGCACCGAGGATCGAGTCTTTCTTCTCGTTGTCTGGTAACGCAGATTCAGTGGAAGCCTTCAGAGCCTTAGCAAACACACGTTAGCTAGTTTCATTTTATAGTTTCTTCACTAAAAATTATTTATAAAGTGGTTAAAGGGATGCAAAAGCTTAAATGTTTAAATTGTATTCTGTTCCTCCTGAGCTTTTCACTGTGCAGAATCTACTAAGTCAGACCCATAGTGCATATGTCAACATGCATAAATCAGTTTTAATGTGATACCTGAAAATAGGCATCCCACTTGGTCATAGCATCAGGGTACTGAGTGGAACACTCAACATAGGTGGTACAATAACCTTCTGAACCTGCAGGTGTTTGGAGTTGGACCTAAAAATGCAGCAAACAACATTTAAAAAGGTTTTAAATGTTAAATTGTCATAATAAATGACATAAACACCTGGACTCCTGCTCCCATGAGGCCATGCTGTGCAGCAGACAGAAAGGAAAGTGCAGAGCTGAAGTGGTTCACACCTGGAAAAGAAAAGAGGTGGGTAAAGATCTCTCTGTGTATGTTCATGTTTGCTTGCTACTCACAGCTCCACCAGCTCTGGGGTGAAATGCACATGGCATCTCCTGTTTGCAGTCCGCAGGTTGTTAGACCGGTCGGGTCAGCAAGACGACCTGCCAGAGCAGCAGAAATGAGATCTAAATCCTTGGGTCAGTTAGTGATTGCTGCTTTGGAAGACTTCCTGAAGTATTAAGAAGGTTGTTGACTTTGTAATAATTAATGCTGATGGCAAATAAATAAATAAATAAATAAATAAATAAAATTATGAACACTTGTCATAATACCTGAAGTTTGCATCCATCCAAGCTGCAGGGCCAGCCCCCACATTGGGTTTTCTGTGGGGCCTGGTCCCATGGATCCCATGTAGGGATCTGTGGCAGCTATCAGAAGACGGTACAAACTCATTCGGTTCAGGTATCTCCAAGGGTCTGGAGTCAGAATCCCATCTTGCGTAGGGAGCTCAGTCACTTGGCTGACTGTTTGAGACCAAAGGATCGGCATCCCATTTTCTAAAATAACTGCAGAGCTGCTTAGAGATACGGCGCATGCCAGGATGAAGCCAAGAGATGCCGGATGTAGCATTGCTGGGGCTGTAGCGAAGAACGGAGTCAGGACTGTGAGCTGTTCCAGACACAGGGCTTATGTACTTTTGCGCTACACACACACACACACACACACACACACACACACACACACACACACACACACACACACACACACACACACACACACACACACACACACACACACACACACACACACACACACACACACACACACACACACACACACACACACACACACACACACACTCTAGCATTTGATGCAAATGTAGTTCAACTGACCGTCACTTACAGCTAAGATAAGAACATTTGTACAGCGAGCTGATGTTGACCATACAAACATCAGTGTGGTGCAAAGAACATATGGGCTTTTAACCCTCTCAGGCTCAAAATAAGTTTTGATAAAAGGACGAACAACTAAGTCCTTCAGGGGTACTTCTGAGTTAAAAAATGCTCACGAAATACGTATGTGGAGTGACCAGGTAGGTAGGTTTTAACGTTGTTAATCTGCTACGTCTGCCTCCAGAGGGTTAAAAAGAAATTTCTTATACATTTGCAGTGTACACTTAAAAAAAGCATTTAAGGGAAATCTGCACATCACATACTTAAAGTTAAACTATTTGGTGGTTTAATCCTCTAATCTAACCCTTTGAAGCTGAGTGTCAGGTAGGGAGGCATTGGCTCCCTTTTCGTAGTCTTTGGTAAGACCCAACCAGGATTTGAACGCTGATCTTCCAGTCCCTGGGTGGACACTCCACCACTAAGCCACTGAGAAGTCCACTGTACAGTTTGAGTCCAACTAACATCTGTACAAGTATTTATCATTTGAAAATGTTTATTTTTCAATTTTTAACAAGATTTCTCTTATCGCATTCATGAAAAGTCTATTTGAATTAAGTAACTTTGCTTTACAGTAACATTCAAAGACAAACTTTGTTTGTAATAAGCAAAGATCAACTCTGTCAGAAGGTTTATGTCAACTCAAAGCTGAGTCAGTTTGGCTAAACTGCTTGAACTGTGGTTTTGCTAACACTGTGTCCGGCTGTGGTTACATCACTGCCACACATCTCGCAGCTTTACGTAAGTAGACCTTCAACTCTTTCTGCTGAGGTAGAGACCCGGACCACACAGCAAGTAATGAAATGTTTATTCACAAAATCCTGTGTGTTTTTCTTCTTCCTTTTTAGTTGTATTCGGTTAATTTTTTTCATCTAAGATTTATTGTTAACTCAAAACTGTCTTTTTCCATTTAAAACAAAAATGTCATTTATAAAAACATTTCAGTTCCTGTCGGAATGTATCTATGTGTGTTTGTTAGATGTAATTGCTGCTCTTGAAATATTAATAATTTTATATTTTACATGCTTGGTTTGAAATGGCAAACCTGTGCTGGTCAAGTTTTGTTACAAAATATACATTTTAAATTTTACCTATTAATACCTTAATGTAATGATTTATTCATTTGTTTCTATATAATTTGTTTATTTGTCTTTTTCCCCCGAACACGTTAAATTGGAAATAAATGCATTAATTATGTGGGTAAAAAATAAATAAATACATAAAACTGGAAATGAGTCAATGCACAAAAACATTTAAAAAAAAGAGAAAGAAATGAATGTGATTAAAAAAATACAATTGTAAACAAATAAATAAATATGTTTTCAGAAAACATGAATGAAAAACACCTGGAATACTTTCAAAAAATTCACAGGAAAAGTTCATTTATTTATTCCAATTTTATTTATTGACTGACTCATTTATTGTTTTGGAAAGATGAGCTCTCCATACTTTCCTTGACAGCTCTTTGATGTGTTGCTGCTTTCAAACTTAAAAGAAATTTCATGTATCATGTATCAATATGATTTAAAAAAAACTTGAGTCTTGATAATAATAAATAAAAATGATTACTACTGAGCCGTGTCCTACTTTTCAAAACATTTACCCCAGTAGCATAGACAAAAACTCATTTCCGGTCATGCCAAATAATTGGGTGGTCCCAAAAAAACTTAACTGGAAATAAGTTTATTTGTAAATTCTAACTTTGCTTCAACACACACACACACACACACACACACACACACACACACACACACACACACACACACACACACACACACATGCATATATATATATATATATATATATATATATATATATATATATATATATATATATATATATATACATACATATATATATATATATACATATATATATATATATATATATATATATATATATATATATATATACATATATATACACACACACACACACACACACACACATATATATGGTGTGAAAAACTATTTGCCCCCTTCTTAATTTCTTATTCTTTTATGTGTTTGTCACACAAAATGTTTCTGATCATCAAACACATTTAACCATTAGTCAAAGATAACACAAGTAAACACAAAATGCACTTTTGAAATGATGGTTTTTATTATTTAGGGGGAGAACAAAATCCAAACCTACATTGCCCTGTGTGAAAAAGTAATTGCCCCCCTTGTTAAAAAATAACCCAACTGTGGTGTTTCACACCTGAGCTCATTTTCTGAAGCCACCCCCAAGCCTGATTACTGCCACACCTGTTTCAGTCAAGAAATCACTTAAATATGAGCTTCCTGACACAGAGAAGTAGACCAAAAGCACCTCAAAGCTAGACATCATGCCAAGATCCAAAGAAATTCAAGAACAAATGAGAACAAAAGTAATTACCATACCATACCGTAGTTTATTCATATAGCATGTTTAAAACGCAGCATGGGAGCTGCCCAAAGGGCTGCACAGGCTAAAACAAAACGCGACCATTCTAAGGAACTAAAACAGAAGATAAAAATACCAGGCAAAAGCAGATAAAACATGATAAATACTAAGAACTCATTAAAACAATGACACAATAAAACACTAAAACGAGTCACTGTCTAAAAGCCAAATCGTAAAAGTGGGTCTTTAAACGAGATTTAAAAACCACCAGTGATGGAGCTTGCCGAACTCCAATGGGCAACGAGTTCCACAGCTTTAGGGCAGCATGCACAAATGCTCGTTCACCCCCCGATTTGTATCACATCCAGGGCGTGCACAGCAGCAGGAGCTCAGCCAACCTCAACGCGTGCGTGGGTACATAGGGAGTGAGCAGGTCAGAGAGATAGGGAGGTGCCAGGTCATTGAGTGCTTTAAATACAAAAGTCAATAACTTAAACTGTACTCTGAAAATGACAGGGAGCCAGTGAAGATGTATCAGGATAGGAGTAATATGGCTACGTTGGTGCGTATTTGTCAAGAACCTGGCAGCAGCGTTCTGGACGACCTA